TTATCTCATTTAGTTATGACCTTTGTACTCAGTTGCTGCCTGACGTAGGTTGCTAAGCCTTTAAAAAATTGCACATGTGGGACATGAAACAAAATATATTTTTTTAGGTTTTATATATACATTTGAATAACTTAAAATCATAAATTACTACATTAATACCAAAGAATTCCACTATAATTTATCTAGCTTAGTAACTAAGATGTATTTTGGTCTAAAAAGATATCAAATTTCGAGCAGACTAAAGACACTCCCTACCTCGTTGAAATATTGGTTGAAAAGAAAGAAATGGCACCCAAGCCCATTAAAATGGCTGATAAAGCCACTAGGGGGACATTCTGAGCTTTTGATTGGTTATTCATGTCGTATATAAAAATAAGTGTATATAAGGGAGCATTTCCAAAAATGGAAAGAAGTGGGCGGTGTGCCACTTGATTTATTGCATGAGCACTATCTTAGCAAATTGAAAAGATATACTCTTTTTTTATATATTCTCACTTGTCAATATCGGTAATTTGAGTTTTTAATTCATTCGAAACCATAGACTCAGTAGACTTCATAAACATCTAATTTGAACCAGTACTGCATTCAACATACCATGTGACACACAAAAATCGATGTTTATCTGTGTTTTTAATATTTGCTTTTAAATTAAGAAATTGAGTAATATATAGTACTAAAATTTGAATTATTATCTACAGTTTTATACCAAACTTATTGACATAAATTCATGAAATAGTTGTTCAATAAAATTTTTAATGTGAGTCAAAAAACAACATGACATAGCCTTTCACCCGTGACCCATCTCGAAAGAATTAATGTAGTTACTTGCAGCTGTACTTTGAATAATTCACCTACAAGGTGATTTTTTATTGTGAATATAAAAGTACTATTTTTTATCTTACAGTTTTCACATTTCAGTTGAATAATCTCTAGAACCTCCTAATTGAATATCAAAATTTTTTTAAGGTAAATGTTTATGTTTTATTTTCTATTTTTCTACCATATAATTAACTCTAGGTATTATTTTCAACATATATATTGCACTGAAATGTTTAAAATTAAGAAATTTAACCTTTTGCTGTGGGCAGGTCAGAGAGTGCATGTCATTATAATATGAATTCATTCTAGAAAGAAAAAAAGGGTAATTTAGATTTGTTTTTGGTGATTATGAGGTTGATCAAAGACCAACTTTGTATAGAAGTAGGGTAGTGAAAATAACATAAAATATAAAGTTTTACTGAAAACAAGCATTTGAAATGTATTTAGGAGGTTTTAGAGAATACACAAATCAAATACGAGATTTTTGAGATGACAAAAAGTATTTTTAATCTACATGAAAATCACTTTGCACATGGGCTATTCAGAATAAATACTCCATATATTCACAGACAAATCTTTTTTTAGTTTATTTAAAGTACTTCACAAAAAATCTTATGTTTTGTATGTGAAAGACTTATAATGTTTATTGAACGTCTCCCATACTATATTAAAAGTTAGTTGTATGAAAACTATAAAGACTTTAAATGAGTACAAAGAGGTTGCGTGGTCGGTCAATTTGACTTAGCCTGTGTTGAGAAAGTTATGAATTTTAAAACAAATAATACATAACTAAAATTTAAAAGTAAAAACCTAAAACAATTTAACTCTTTCTCTCTCTAATTATAACATATTTAGGGAAGAAACAACTGAAATGCTAGTGTGAACAAAGCAGCTAATAATAGTACGAGCAGTTACATCTACCCAAGGACAGCAACTTGGCACCAATTTCAAAATAACTGGTGTTGGATTATAGTGTAAAATGAGCAGCTCTTCCTAAAGACTATAAACACATACATGGTGAAAGTACATGTAACTTGTAAAGCTCAAAGTGAAGGTGGATGTGGCACCTGGAAGGAGTTGACAAAATTCCTTGTTTCAACTGCATTTAGTGAAAGTACTTTGAAGCATACATGTCAGAAGGACAAGTAAACTACATTCTTGTCTAGACTTATTTGTACATGACTTCCCCCTCATGCTTCAAATTTCATTAAAATGCATTGGTAGTAAAGTGGTTTAATTAAATTTTGAACATAACTCAGTAACATGTGCAGAAAGGGTTTTAAATATGGTGTCATTGTTATAGAGTTAATGTCATGAACATGCTTTTATAAAATGTTTATTTTGACTCTCGTGACCATATTTGGTGTGAAATTCTTGCAATTGTACTTTTGACTGTTTCCTATATTTTCTAAAATCAAAAGACATTTAATGTCATTTACTGCTGTGTCCTAGTTAAAACTGTCAGTGATAATCACATTATGTTGTAAAATATATATAAAATAATAGGTGGACAGATGGTCATAATAAGTGTAGTATAGATAACAAAATGAATGTAGAAAGCAAGAGTGTATGTGAGAAAATAAGACAAGTTATTAAATATAATGAAAGATTAAGAATTAAAAGCTAAAAAAAGAGGTTAAGGAATAAACAGTTTTATTCTTCCTGAATTATGAAACTATTCAATTATTGTACAAACCAAGTAAAACAGAAGCCTTCTGATTTTATTATCTATTAATAATAAAGTGTAGGACTATTATATTATACATTTTTTAACATGTAATGCATTCTTCAGGTAAATTACTTGAGAGATTGTGAGAGTGTATTAATGTCTTGATTATTCTAAACAAAACAACTGTGTAACTTAGGTGTTAAGTTGTAGAAACTCTTACTATTGTTGAATAACATTTCTAGGTAGCAAGGTCACTTACAAGTATATAAGAAATATTCTTACCATAAAATATTGTTTGTAAGTTAACACATAAAACCTAAGATGTTTTTATGAAAGATTCGACTCCATTTGCAGTAAGCTGAAATAATTATATTTATTACACAATGTTTGTATAGGGAAACCAACAAAGAACAGCAATGTGGAATGAACAACCTAGGCAATTGATACCAAACCTGTTGGGAGGTAACCTTACACCTGCTGACCGCCATGGTTCAGTCCAAGTTGTGAGCTCAACTAATGGTGAACTAGCAAATGATGATCCAACCACTGGTCATTCAAACACACTAATTACTACTCCAGCTGAAGTGGAAGTAGTATCAGAAACAAAGTAAGTAGAAATGTATTAAAACTGCTAATAACTGTTTTGGATGAAAGGAGGTAATCTTTAGAATCCAATTAAGTAGAAATATGTTTTAAATGCTAATAGCTGCTTTTGCTGAAATAGAAGTACTTTTGAAAGTAGTTAGAATTCTATTAACAGTCTTTTAATAGCTGTTGCAGATGAAGTGAAGGTAGGTTGTCCCAGAATCTAGTTAGCCTTTTCCAGAATGGAAGGGTTAACTGGCTACAAAACACTACCAAAATTGATGAAGATTTATCAGTGACCTAGGACTTTACATTTCAAAATGGCATCACTGTTATTTTTGTCAGTTGTTAATATTGTAAATTTTGCCCATATTCTTGGTTGACAGAAACTTGGTTTGTTTTCAGCATGTAGTATGTTGTTTTTGTAGGGCATTTAGCTAACAATTGTATTCAACATAAAAAAGTGTCATTTGAATAGGTTGCTGTTACGTATTGTACTTACCTAATACTTTGTCACAGAAATATATTCTTGTATCTTTCAAACAGATATATTAAATCAAAAATAATATCAAGAATGGAAAGAATTTCAAACTTGGAAAAAATATTTCCAGATATGCTGTGGCTTGTTTCTAAGTGTGTGTAAACTTTTACTTTTGGAGCCTTTGTTTACTTCTAAGGATGCTCCAGATAACTAATATGTCAACAAACCATAAATACCTGCTACAAACACTTTATTTATTGGATAGGAACTGTTCTAACTAATCATAATTTAGCCATAGGCTCTAGTGATTGTCAAAGTTGAGCTTCATTAATAATTTTTCAGCTCACATGCTATGGCTTCATAAAAGGGGGTGGGAATGAGTGGCTATAGTACTAAAACCACTGACAATGACTGGAAAAACATGGTTAGGATCTTACATTTTTAAGGGATAGTAATTTTTTAATAAATATAAACATATATATATATTTGGATGAGTAAGAAAATTCTAAGATATTAAAGAATGCATATATTTACAGCTGAGATTCTCTTGAGCTACACAGCATTGAAATTTGAAACTTTTTTTTATCAATTTTCCTTGTGAAATATTCTAAATAAATGTAATATTATGATAAGATATCTATTCCAAAACATATATTGTAGCAAAAGATTGTTGAAATAGAATTAATTATATTGTTTACTTAAATTTATAAATTTGGTATGCAATTAACCAGGTTTTAATAAAATGAGTGAGGTAGTAGCTTATTAAATAAAAATTGGCATGCTTTAGATTAATAATTTAAAGAATAGCAGTTCCCTTTCTTTAACTTAAAATGATATAGGTATTGATAGTTTTTTCTATTTATTAATAACTTTAATAAGATAATTGGAGTTTACCATTTTTTACTACATAATACACCTGTTAAAATTATAGATTTGATATTCATATTTGAAAAAGTACTTATAACACCAGGTTGGATGTGAATCTAAAATGTAATCTTGGTTTTGAAGTGACTTTTTTGTAAAGTGTTAAGTTAGACATTATTATTGATGGCCTAATTTAGTTAAAGTAAAATGAGCACTCTAGGTTGTATCTAACAACATAGTCTGACTGTAGATTAGAAAGTGCTGAGCAATATTTTTTCCAGAATTCAAAAGGTTTGGAGCAGTGTCTGAATATGCAAAACTTTACAGTTTTTAAGTGAAATGCTCAAAAGAATCATTTTTCTGTTTAATGTTCTCTGTGTTTCATTCCTTAGCAATTAAACAATTAATATTTTATTTCATCTAAGTAATAATTCATAAGTACCAGGGTGGACCAAACTAACCTTTTAAAGTGCCCAGTTCTGTCTTGGTTTGACTCTTCCACTTGTTATATCATTATAACTTAGTTTGTCTCCTGTAACAAAGTACTCTGTGTGATGATACTATATTTTAATTTTGTGGTATGATAATAGGCTATTTTGTGTTTTGTTCATGTAATTTGAATGACTATGGTTTATCCTTTCTCCAAATGTTGACTTACTGTTATAGGTGTTGCTGTTTTTTCAAGAAAAAGAAAAAAAAGCCAGGAAGGCAGAAGTGACTCCCTGATGCATGGAACCCTGAACAAGAAGCCGTGTTGTTGCAGACTTCACCTTCAGAATCTAAAGAAAGTGTTGGTGCTATTCTTCTGCAAACAGCAGATGTTTAGTTGATTTTTCAGCTTATGCTGTTCTTGTGTCATAATAGACAACCATATGTGGTTACCATGTGTAGTAAGGACAAATACCCAGCAACTCAAGATGACAGATGCATGATTTTCAGTTTTGTCCCTTTGGAGAATATGGTAGTTGCTAGACAGTTTTAGCATTGAGAAACCATATCAAGTAAATTAAGATGTTTTATGCTTTGGATTGACAAAGCAAACACTAGCAGTTCTATAGTAGGCATGTGATTAGTGGCCAAACAGTGAAGCTCATATATTTCTTAACACATAAATTGAACTTTTGTGAATGAAAGATGTGTAATTATTATTGTTACTTTTGATATTTATGTTTGAATTTATTGGATGCACAAAAAAAGAGGGGCTGGAGTTTTCCTGTTGGAAAAAAAAAATTCCTTTCCAAGGAAGGTATAATGTGTGTTTCCATTGCATTATTAAATGTAGTCACATCATCATCAACTGTCCCAGTGTTTTTCTATTGACTGTAAATATCAGTGTTGAGACATTTTTTTCTTTTTGCAGGAGTTTAGGGTTTAATTTATTAGTGACAGATTAGTTTCACTCAGCTGATTATTGTCACATCACCAAACGTAGAAACTGAAGTTATAAGCAGAGGAACTTGTCTGTATGTACCTTTTATAACAGTAATTTTTACTATTATAGACTAGCTTTCTTTTCTTGTATGGTTTTCCCTCTTTCTTCTTTTTTTTATCATTTTTCTCAGAACATAATGAGAAAGAAAGGTCATTGTAACATTTCTGGTACTTAAAAAGGTAAGCTTATGTACAGCTGCTTGAAAAAAAATCCTACTATAAATCAAGTTTTACTGATCTCCATATCTGCAGTTTCAAACATTTTGCCTTTGATAAAGTGAAATAATCTGTTAAATTTTCATGTTTATCTTGCCTGTATGCATTTCAATATAGTCTTATCTTCTCAAGTGCCAGTTTCAGTTCTCTGTGATTTATAGAGATCATGTACTGGCTGTGTTTCTCTCTTCTTAATTAAAATGCATATCAATGTATTGATAAATTTCTTAAGCTGTAGTGAAGACAGTAGAACAGTATTCGTGACTTGAGTTGTAAGATTTTGTGCTGGAATTCTCTGTATAAATGGTCTTAAGAGAATTCAATGACGAGGAACCCACTTTGAGACTAATAATGCTTCGAGATGGCTTGAATGGGTAATGAAGAAAAACTTTAGTATAAGTTTAACATAACAACAAATTTATAACATTTCGACAAGGTTTTGTCATCATCAGGTACATGTAGTTTACACTGGTACAGATATGTCAATGACACTTTTGCTGGTTTCACTTCTACAGAACACACACTAATTTTCTTTGAACACATAAACTCCATTCATCTCAACATCAAATTTACCATAGAA